TTGATCGAAAAAGCAAATTACGCTGCAAAATTTAGATCTGGGAAGATGCAACTAAGTAGGCAGCAAAAAAAGGAATAGAGGAGAGGAGAGAAAAAAGGTAAAGGGTGTAACTAAATCCCTTGATTGAAGGCACAAATAATTATAACGACCCGTTCGGTCGTTTCGAGAGTTATAGCCCCGTTTCCCCATTTTTGCTTCTTTTTGTGTCCTTCAGCTATATTATGATATGTTGGGTCAGTTGGTTCGAGTCTGGAGTGAATTCGGAGAGGATTGAGACACTTAGTCTATTTTGTGAAAGCTTAAGTTTGGAAAGTTGACCGGATGTTGACCTATGTGTAAACGATCTTAGATGTGAATTCTGATGGTTCCGTTAGCTGCGTTAGGTAAATTTGGACTTTAGAGCGCGTCCGGAATGTGATTTGGAGGTCCGTGGTATAATTAGGCTTCAATTGGCGAAAATTGGAAATTCGGCGATTTTGGTCGGCAGTGGAAGATTTGATATCGGGGTTGGAATAGAATTCCGGAAGTTGAAGTAGGTTCGTGGTGTCATTTTTGACGTGTGTGCAAAATTCAAGTCATTCAGAGGTGATTTAATAGGTTTCGGCGTCATTTGCGGAATTTGGAAGTTTAGAAGTTCTTAGGCTTGAATCCGAGGGTAATTTGGTGTTTTGATGTCATTTTAAGTGTTCCGAAGGTTCGACTAAGTTCGTATGTTGATATATGACTTGTTGGTATGTTTGGTAGAGGTCCCGAGGGCCTCGAGTTGATTTTGGGTGATTGACGGAACAAGTTTGGAATTTGAGAAATGCTAAAGTTGAACTAAGCTGTTATAACCGCACCTGCTGAGTGGGAACCGCAGGTGCGAGCCCGCAGAAGTGGAGAAGAAGCCGCAGATACGGCCAAGGCTGAGGTTGGCTGGAAGCGCATGTGCGAGATATGGAGCGCACCTGCGAGACCCAGGTGCGATATTGTGACTGCAGAAGCGAATTCTGAGGAATAAGTGGGAACCGCACCTACGACAGATTTTCCGCAGGTGCGGCATCGCAGAAGCGACATTTGGACCGCATATGCGGTATCTCTGGGCAAAACGTATAAATTGTGGACTTCGCAAATTTTGGTTCATTCTTCACCATTTTCAGTCGGTTTTGAAGCTTTTGGGAGCGATTTTGAGGAGGAATTCAAGGGATTATCCTTGAAGTAAGTTGCTTGAGCCCTAATACTCGTATATGTGATGATTTCCCGTTGTTTAATCATGTAATTAGTGAAGATTAGGGGTGAAAATGAGGGGTTAGGGCTTGGGATTTTGGAGAGTTTGAGTTGAGGATTTGAGGGGCCAAATGGAGTCGGATTTTGATGAATTTCATATGTATGGCCTCGTGACTGAATGAGCTTTCTAGTTATGTGATTTTTGTCGGATTTCGAGATGTGGAGCCAGGGGCCGGGTATGAGCCAATTTCGGGATTTTGGTCTAAATTGATAGTTTTTCTTGTGGAATTCATTCCATTAGCGTATATTGATGGTATTGTACTGACTGTGAATAGATTCGGAGCATTTGGAGGCCAAGTTGAGAGGCCAGGGCGCCGTGGAGTAGGATTTTGGATTGATTGAGGTAAGTAACGCTTCCAAACTTGGTTTTGAGGATTCGAAACCCTGAACTATGTGTTATGTGATTAGTATTGAGGTGATGCACATGTTAAGTGACTGGCGTGCGAGCGTGCACCGTGAGAATTGTGGCCTGGTTCATTCCATGGCACCGTTTAGTGACTCATTCTTGTTGATATCCGTGTTTCCATCATGTAAATAAGTAAATGAGCTGTAAATCATGCTAGATATCATGTTAGGGCTTTATGCCGATACTGTTGGGAGCCGAGTGGTCGTTTCTTGCTATCATCTCAGTAGTTTCATTGATATTCTATACTCAGTCTTATTCATGTATTTCATATCATGTCTCAGTCTCTGTTGTTATTTATCGGCACATCATGTCATTGTTCCGGGCTAGTTTTCATGGCATTGTGAGCCCGTGTGTAAGAGAGGAGAGTGATGACCGAGTGAGGCCGGGAGCTTGATTATGAGTGACAGTTATGGGATCGAGCTACACGCCGCAGCAGTTATGTTGATGAATATGATAACGTTTGGGCCGTAGGATCCCCTCCGGAGTGTGTAACACAACCCCGGTGAGCGCAGTTGATATTATTGAGGGATGGATCTTACCTGGACATGGATCTTGTCCGAAGTAATTATAACTGGAGATGGATCTTCTCCATAGGGCTGGAATGTCCTTCCTCGGTACTGGGTGACTGTTGTTAGTGAGGTGTATATATTCCGGGATGGATCTTCCCTGGGCCGGATGGCCATATACAGTACCGAGTGATTGAGCACTTGAGAGTGGAGGTACTTGGTACATTTTCATGCATTTTGTGCATTGACACGTTGAGATTAGCTGAGATTTATACTTCACATTGTCCAGATTTGTATTTACTTTACTGCTTGAGCTGAATACTTGAATTGAAAGCATGCCTAATTTACTGCACAATTTAATTTTGGTTTACCTGTTGAGGTGTAGTTGCTCACTACCTATCAGTCTATAGTTTGGACTTGTTACTTACTAAGTTGGTGTACTCATGTTACCCCCTGCACCTTGTGTGCAGATCTAGGTATCTCTGGCCACGGTATCGGCTATTGACTATTCCAGTTGTAAACTTTCATCGGAGATAGCGTGGTAGCTGCCTGGCGATCGCAGTCCTGCTTTTCTCCTTCTTTATCTTCCCTTTAGTGTATTTTGGATACTATCAGACTATGTTAGTCTTGCTATATTTCAAAACAGTTGTAGTAGTTGCTCATGACTTAGTGACACCCCGATGTCGGGCTTTTTATTTCTGCATTTTGTTTTCGAGTTGAACTCTTTTTATGTAATTTCAGTATGAAAAAGGCTTTTATCTATCTTTTAATGAAATATCGAATTGTTTGGGAACGTGTCGGCTTGCCTAGTTCCATGATAGGTGCCATCACTACCGGGTTTAGGTTTGGGTCGTGACAAGTTGGTATCAGAGCCTAGGTTACATATGTCTCACGAGTCATGAGCAGGTTTAGTAGAGTCTTGCGGATCGGTACGGAGACGTATGTACTTATCTTCGAGAGGCTGTAGAACCTTTAGGAATACTTCACATTCTTGAATTCTTGTCGTGTGAATCTGTTGATTCTGGTAACTAAACTTCTGTTATTCCATTCTTTCATAGATGGTGAGGACACGTGCTACCAGTTAGGATGGACGACCACCAGTTGGGGCCGCGAGAGGCCGAGGTCGCGGTCGAGGCCATGGTAGGGGCAGGGTGTAGCCCGCTCAGCAGCTAGGGCAGCACCTACAGATTCACCAGCCGCCCCCGTTCATGATCAGGTCCCAGTTAGATGCACCAGCAGGGCCAGCCCAGGCACCGGCTGTGCCTATTGTTATTCCCGATCTTCAGGAGACCTTAGCTCAGATTCTGACCGTGTGCACCAGTCTTGCACATGCGGTCTCTATTACTACTACAGCAGCTACTTCCCAGGCCGGGGGAGGCACTCATACTCCCGCCGCCCGTACACCTGAGCATGTTGTTCAAGGACTTCAAACACCGGGGGCACCACCAGCACACTCGATTTCACCTGCTCAAGATTATGTGGTTCCAGTCATGCCTAATGACGAGCAGCGTAGATTGGAGAGATTCGGTAGACTTCAGCCTCCGACTTTCAATGGAGCAGAGGGCGAGGATGCCTAGGGTTTCTTGGACAAGTGTTAGAGGATTCTCCGTACAACGGGTATTATAGAGACCAATGGGGTCTTGTTCACTACCTTTCAGTTCTCGGGAGCTCCCTTTACTTGGTGGGAGGCTTATGAGAGGCGTAGGCCTGTTGATGCAGCGCCCCTTACCTGGCGCAATTCTCAGTTCTCTTTTTGGAGAAGTAGCCGCAGTCCCGCAGAGAGGAGCTGTGTAGCAAGTTCGAGCAGTTGCGTCAGGATGTTATGATTGTGATGCAGTATGAGATGAGGTTTTCTGAGTTAGCCCGTCATGCTGTTTGGTTGGTTCCTACAGATAGGGATAGGATCAGGAGGTTTGTGGATGGCCTCGCATCAACGACAGATTCTTATGACCAGAGAGAGGGTGTCTGGTGCTTCTTTTGAGGAGGTGGTTGACATTGCCCGAGAGATAGAGTCGGTTCGCCGCTAGGAGCGAGTTGAGAGGGAGGCCAAGAGGCCTCAGGGATCTGGTACTTTTGGTGGTGTTCCTTCTGGAGGTCAGTTCCAGCAAGGCAGAGGCCGTCCATTCTGACATGCTCAGTCAGCTCGTCCAGGTCACCGTGGTGGATCATCTGGCCATGGTCCTCGCAGTTCTCATCAGGGCCACTCATCTCTCAGTGCCCTTCCAGCTCAGAGTTCGACTCATGCACCATCAGTTCAGGGCTCATCTATGCCTAGTTCTTCTAGTGGGTATCCCAGTGCTCTGGGCTCCCTTCACTCCCCACCGCCATTTGCCGGGACAGGTTGCTTTGAGTGTGGAGATTTGGGTCATATCAAGAGATTCTGTCCCCGCCTTACGGGAGGTTCATCCTAGCAGAGGAGTCAACCTTCGGCTTCAGCACTAATTACTTCCCCACCCGCTCAGCTAGCTCGGGGTGGAGGTCAGTCAGCTAGGGGTCGGCCTAGAGGGGGAGGTCGATCAGGTGGTGGTCAGGCCCGTTTCTATGCACTCCCCGCCAGACCGAATGCTTTTGCTTTAGATGCTGTGATCACAGGTATTATCTCAATTTGCCATAGGGATGCCTCTGTATTATTTGATCCTGGTTCCACTTTTTCATATGTGTCGTCATATTTTGCTCATTATTTGGATACACCCTGCGAGTCTCTTATTTCATCTGTTCATGTATCTACTCCTGTGGCCGATACTATTGCTGTGGACCGCATATAAAAATAAGCTTAATTGGGTGTAAGGAGCGGTACATATGTACATGAACTCTCAAATGAGTTAAGTCAGAGACATGTAGTAGTCTACCACGAATGCTAGCACAAAGAAAATAAGAGAATAATGTTTGGTCTTTATAGCAGAAGAAGTCCCTGGATTTGACCTTGACTGGTGCCTTCCCACATCAATCATTATCTCAAATCGACAAGAAGAAGAGCTGCCCCTGCTTGAAGAACTAGGAGATGGATCAATTGTTGTAATGACTGACAAATTATGAAACCTTTCACACGACCCTTTATGTTGATTCATAGTTTGATAGTACATATTAAAGGCATATGAAGCATTGCTCTCAACGTCAAGTCTACCACATGACGAACCGTATCCAAGACTAGTGCAATCTGCATAGCTACATGCATAATTTATACTTTTTGGCAAGCTCGGGTCCATAACATTTGCCTCAGGTGCCATTATACACCATTTCCTATCCAAATATCGTACGCCTTTAGCCGACGTTAGGCTTCGATTGTTACCTAAATCAAGTTGGTACTTAATGGCTCCATCAAAGGCAAAAACCTCCCAATGGCGCTCAAGATTTCCCGGTTCAATGCTCTTGGCATCTTCATCCACGAGCCCGAAAATGTAAATGTCGGGTGGTGTAGGCCGTTTAGGGGTACCTATACCACGACTAATTCGGTCTAGTAGACCTTGATTGAACTTTATAGCATATTTAATGTTCGCATTGGCATCACCATCAGTAGGCCAACCGACTCTTACGATTATAGGCATCGAACCAAAACCATTTTTCTCGAGAGCCCAAACGAGGGTATCATAATTAGCTTCGAAGACATTGTTATACGTGATGCAACCGTCCATGACTGGAGAGGCTTATGAGAGGCATAGGCCTGTTGATGTAGCGCCCCTTACCTGGCAGCAGTTCTCCGTTCTCTTTTTAGAGAAGTATGTGCCGCAGTCCCGCAGAGAGGAGCTGCGCAGACAGTTCGAGTAGTTGCATCAGGATGATATGACTATTACGTAGTATGAGATGAGGTTTTTCGAGTTAGCCCATCATGCTGTTTGGTTGGTTCCTACAAGTAGGGATAGGATCAAGAGGTTCGTGGATAGCCTCGCATATCAGCTACAGATTCTTATGACCAGAGAGAGGATGTCTGGTGCTTCTTTTGAGGAGGTGGTTGACATTCCCCAAGAGATAGAGTCGGTTCGCCGCTAGGAGCGAGTTAAGAGGGAGGCCAAGAGGCCTCGGGGATCTGGTAGTTTTGGTGGTGTTCCTTCTGGACGTCAGTTCCAGCACGGCAGAGGCCGTCCATTCAAACGTGCTCAGTCAGCTCGTATAGGTCACCGTGGTGGATCATCTAGCCATGGTCCTCGCAGTTCTCATCAGGGCCACTCATCTCTCAGTGCCCTTCCAGCTCAGAGTTCGACTCATGCACCATCAGTTCAGGGTTCATCTATGCCTGGTTCATCTAGTTGATATCCCAGTTTTCGGGGCTCCCTTCAGTTCCCACCGCCATTTATCGGGATAGGTTGCTTTGAGTGTGGAGATTTGGGTCATATCAAGAATTCTGTCCCTGCCTTACGGAAGGTTCATCCCAGCAGAGGAGTCAGCCTTCAGCTTCAGCACCAGTTACTTCCCCACCGGCCCAGCCAACTCGGGGTGGAGGTCAGCCAACTAGGGGTCGCCCTAGAGGGGGAGGTCGATCAGGTGGCGGTCAGGCCCATTTCAATGCACTCCCCGCCAGACCGAATGCTTTTGCATTAGATGCTGTGATCACAGGTATTATCTCAGTTTGCCACAGGGATGCCTCTGTATTATTTGATTCTGGTTCCACTTTTTCATATGTGTCGTCATATTTTGCTCGTTATTTAGATACGCCCTGCGAGTCTCTTATTTCATCTGTTCATGTATCTACTCCTGTGGATGATACTATTATTGTGGACCGCGTATATCGGTCTTGTATGGTGACTATTGGGGGGTTTGGAGACCCGAGTAGACCTTTTGCTGCTTAGTATGGTTGATTTTGATGTGATATTGGGCATGGATTGGTTGTCTCCGTGCCATGCTATTCTGGACTGTCACGCTAAGATGGTTGTTTACCTTGAAAACGGTAATTACAATTAGATTTTATTTTGTGGTTCTAAAAATACGTGATTTATTTTTATGCTAGTAGTTAGGCAGTAGATGCTAAGTGTGAGACTAGAAAATAAAGTAAGAGCTTGAAGGTAGTGTATCAAGCAAACCGAGTGGCTGAGAAACGGGGCCTCGAGCTGGCTTATATGGGGCCTCGAGGTCGAGCTAGGCATTAGGCTCTGAACAGCCGATGGGGAACTAACATTTCTAAGGACCTTGATGAGGGCCTTTTATGATCAATGATGAGTAAAAAATGAAGAACAAACAATGAAAACACAATAAATGCAAGTAATAAATGTAAGTAATAAGATCAAAGGAGAATATGTTTATGTTAGAGAGCAGAGAATGTTCTTGTTCTTGTATTTAATGTTGTGTGTTATATTCTCTCCCCCTTACAAAATGACAAGGATCCCCTTTATATATGAGGGAAAATCCCAACATGGTACAGATGCATTTATTACAAAGATACGCGGCTGATACCGCCATTTAATGCCACGGGACGGGCTTGTACTAGCCTAATAGACTTGGTCATCTTTAATCAAGTACCTTGGGAACTTCCCGTTTTGCCATCATAACCACCAATTTATACTGCCCCGAGGCCGAACATTGAGAACCCTCGGGGTCAAGCCTCGATCCGTATCTCGAGCCTTTGGAGACATGCTTACGAAGCGTCATAAAATCGGGCCCTCTGATTTTTACCGTATACAGATAGTCCCCGCGTTTCTTTGGATGAAAATGATAAGAAATGATCTTGAATTTTCCACCAAGCCACAATTTTCCTGGCTTTAAAAGCTTTTTCTCTTTGACAGGCTACAACCTTCTTCCTCATCTATTGCTGCTTCGGAGGAGATTTTCGAAGATGTCGTTGTGAAGATCGAAATGAGATCCCCGAGGAAATGGTTCTCGCAGATGTCGCTCCCGAGGATGCACCTCCGAGAGTAGATTAGACTTCTAGCTGTTATTTTTTCTTCTTTGTTTCTGTGTAAGGACCCCTCGTGGGCTTTTGTAATCGTCGTTTATTAATACAAAAAATGCTTCCTCAATTTGTGTTTGACTTGTGCTGGATTTCCCTTTGCCTACGTTTGTAAAAAATCCGAGCATGTGACTTTATTGATTGGTCCGAATACTGGATCCGGACGTACTCGTTCCCTTGGTTTTTGAATGGTTGATACGATATTTCCTGAAAACCCTTCGATATCCCTTGGACTAAATCCTGATTGACCTGATACAAACTTAGGCCGCCAGGACTTCCGAATTCGAATTGAGTGAGAGTGGGGCCTCGAATTTTAGGCCATGACTTAGCCCCTTTTAGGCCCCGTTGGTAGTCCTCGAGAGATAAATTTGCTCGATCACCTAAAAATAAAGACAGCCCTCAGGCCTTTCCAAATAGTCCCCGAGTGAGAGTTGACTTGAAGCCGGGCGACCTCGAAAACTTGCCTTGAACTTAAAATGAAGATAGCCCTAAGGCGTTATAGATAGACCCTGAGCGAGGATACGTTCGAATTCGGATGGCCTCCTGGGCTAAAGCAACCGAGGGGGCATTTAAATTAAACTTAAGGTGAAAGTAGCCTGAGGCTTTATTAATAACCCTCGAGTGGGAACTGACTCGGACCTAGAAAGATCCTCGATATCGGGCACCATCTCGAGGCTAGGTCTATGCGGATAGTTTCTTAGAGCTCATCGTTATAGCAACAAAGATCCTCGAGATCGGGTACCATCTCGAGGCTAGGTTGATACGGGGGCCTTTGATCCCTCGAATGTTGTATGACGGTGTCAATCGTATGACATGGCCATGGAATGACCAAGGTGATCCCGCCGGTACACTTCCCCGAAAGTGATGATGGCTTAGCCAGCATTAGTTGGCCTTTAGGGTAGGTGGACAGTCACCGCTTGCTCTATATATGAGTTTGCTTCCCTCCTTTTGAGGATTCCGCTATTTTGAGCAGCTATCCCTTTCCGTAGAGTTCCTCTTTCTTGTGCCAGCTCTTTCGCCATTTTAATTTGAAGCTTTCGCTTAAGATCTCGTTTCCCTTCTCTTGTTCCACCACGGCTATGGCTGCCACGCCCAGACCTGTTCACCAAGAAGAGGAGAGTTCCGCCTCTGCTTCTCGCTCGGTTGGTGGTACACCACCGGTGTATGGTAAGCTAGCCCGAGAGGTTTTATCTCGAGGAGGGAGTATGCATCAAAGTTTATTTCATCAATAGGAGAGGGACACCTCGAGGCAGTGAGGAAGACTGCGGATGGGCAAAAAAGGTAGTATTGTAGGTACCTTCCCTGGAAGAGAGCATCATGACTCATGCAGAGGGTTTTTGAATACACGTACCCCTTTACGTTGGGACCTCTCGATAGAGTCGTGTTCGACTTCTGTCAAAAATATCGGGCTACCCTGGCACAGGTTCACCCGTCGTTCTGGAGGGTAGTATTGATGATGAGGTTTTTTGCGGAGGAAGCCGGGCTTGATTTCACCCTTAGCCATCTCGTTAGGTTGTACCAGCCTTTCATCACCGAGGCCTGATTACTTTGCGATGTCGATCTTCCAGGCCCTTTGTTGTCGATGATGAAGAAGATGGGGACCAAGGGTGGATGAGCCGATTCGTCCGAGTATAGACCGTTGATATTATCCCCGTGGAGTTCCTGCCATTTCCTGAGAAATGGAATTTCACACGTAAGTGGTACACTTATGTTTTTATCATTTTTTGCTCATGGTGGAGGCAGATTCTGTAAAGACGCTTTCTTTTTCTTTTTTGCAGCGATCCCGTGGATGCCATACGAGGTTCCTGACCTAGCAGATTGGTCTCGAAAATTTGAAGCTTGCTCGACTTACGACGAGCGTAAGTGGTGAGACCTGTCCAAGGGTAGATGGGAGGCAAAACATCATGGTACGTGTTGTGTGGCTTGTTTTCTTAGAAAGGTACTTTCTTTTGTGTGTACTAACTCTATCACCGCAGGCATCGGAGAATTTTCCGAGGTGAGATCGTGCCCCCTCGGGGAGGAGGAAGGATCATCGACTTCGGGGGCGAGGGCTGATAACAAACGAAAGGAGTCCTCGACGGACGAGGGTGTTCATAGCGAGGCAAGCCCTGCTTGGAGGCTCAAAGAAGATGTATTAGTTGAGCCTGCGGCATCTGAGGCTTCTAGACTTGGAAAAATGGTTCCTCTTTTGCCGCCGTCTTCTTTTCCCGTCGAAGGTACTTCGAGGGATAAGGATTTTCTGGAGCCGTATTCTTCTCCCGTCGAAGGCACTCCGAGGGATAAGGACTTTCTGGTGCCGTCTTCTTCTCCCGTCGAAGGTACTTCGAGGGATGTTCGGGGCCAAGGGCTGCCTGACTCAAGCGAGATCTCGAACGATCACATTTTTATTGGGAGCGATTCTACTGGGGACGATGAGACCAGGCTAGTAGATGTGCGCTTGACTTTTGAGGAGGCTCAGCTGCTCTGTTCTGTGGTGAGTTTTGGTCAATTGTATTGGTTTTCTGATTTTGCACTTTCGTTTTCTTATTGAGCTCCTTTTTCATAGGCCTTTTACAAACTTAAGTCAGAGCTGCTTCGTCATGAAGTCGGGTTGCGAAAAGCCTTGGGTGGGGAGAAATCCCTCATGCTTCTTTGTGACAAAAAGGAAGATGTGCTGGTATACTTGCGGTACAAGGCGAGTCGGAGCCGGAACTACGAAAGCTACCTCGAGGGACAGGTAACCTCTATTTCGAGGGGGTGCAAGTTTCTTCTTCT